AATTACCGGCCTCTCTCATCTTTTTAAGTGGGAGAACTTGCACTATTGGTGGCTGACTAAATACTTTTTTGCCCCACTGTATGATTGGCCGAACTTAGGTGTTCAGGATGATGATGTAGCCTGCATAAAATAACGAAACCCAACCCCCCAGATTTTAAGACAGACTTTGGGATGATATGGTCTGATAAAGAGTACATTTATATACATGTTTAACCCAGAATGATTTGACATGTAAATATGATTTCCCTAAGACCTAAACCTTATCTACTTCCAGTCTGTTCCTCTGCTTGGTTTTGATGTGAGCTGAAGGTGAACTTAAAGACTCACTTCTAGATAAATAAAAGCTTCTTCAATTTTTCAAATGGCTCCTCACAAAGCAGAACAGATCCAAGGCTTATTTTATTTTACTACCCAAGAAAATATTTTCATATACCCCTTGCCATACCGTCGTAGACTACTAGTGGTACGTGAACCCCTGGTTGGGAAACACTGATTCGGTTTGACGTTGTCTTGACATTACCCTTAGGTGTGCACCCCCCTTATGAAAATCCTGGATCCGTCCCTGCTAAGTCTATAATCCCATTTACAGTACCCTTTGGAAACCGTGCAGAGATCGGTAACCGAGATAACTGTTAAATGTGAATGGCACGTAACACTAGACACAACCGAACCACTCTAAACTGGTACTAGTTCCTCAGTAGGGCTCGGCACGGTTCAGTTCGGACTCGGTTTCTAGTTAGCAGTGTGACGAACCTCAACGTCTGGCGTTTCCTGCGTCTGTACGCCCGGATTAGACTATGTTTGCCGTATCCACTACAAGAAACCAGACTGTCAAGCAAATTCACCAAAGGCTGCCTTCTTTGCCTGATTCTCCGCAAATAACAAAATATCTCAATTATAGCCAAACTTCCTGAACGTTACGGGCGCCGCCACATTGGCTTGCTTGTTTCTAGAGAGCAGTAGTACCGTAGATCGTCACTAGGAGGCGAGGAACCGCACTATCATTGAGTGTAAACAGTCGTAAGGAACTGAGCTCAGCACAGTTAACCGATCCAAGCTCGGTCCGAACTCGGCACAGATTGGTTTCAGGGGGTGGTGTAAATGGGGCTGATGGTGGGTACCTTCTTCCTCCATTCTTTAGGTATCCCAGTGGGAAGCCGGGCCACAGATTTCAGAGCGTCATACCACTGTGGAAAAAAAACACAAACAGACTATTTCAGTTTGAATTGAATCAAAGTTTGATCATTTTTATCGTCTATCTTTGTGATTTTCATCTTTGCACAATACTTTCCAGAATGGAAAAACACAAGGCTCCAAAACAAACAAACGTTTCCTTAAAGGGGTCATACA